GGGAAATATTACTTTAATAACACTTTCCTATGGCGTGATTTTGCTAAGAAATATTTATGAACATATTATTTGAGATATAAATTCTGACACTTATGTGCAATGTATGCATAAGCGAAACGTTAGAAATGGCAGAAAAGCAGAAGATATTGCACTAAATTGTTCAGGAAGATGCTATGGCAAACAATGGAATAAATTGGCTTGATAATACTAGATAGATACAATCACGTTTCAAGAAAAAGCTGGTATTTAACTAATATTAATGGAAATCTCATTCATCAATAAAAATCAAATGGAAAATCAATAAAGTGACGGACAATGCAGAAGATGAAGTTGACACGGTGAATAGAAATTTGAAGTAATATAAAGTATAATCAATATCTAAACATATTAGCAACCTCAGTAACAGCACCTGAAGTACCAATAAAAACTTTTAATAACAATATAATTGCAAAAATGAAAAATGACGCAAACAGATCTGTTGATTATGGATAATAATGCATTAAAAAAGGAGATAAGGCACAGATCTAGAGAAATAAACCATGGTTTGATTAAAAATGATGCAAATCTTGTAGGAAGATGTTGAACAAATCAAAATTAACAACATTCTGCATACACAAATAGCAAATGGAAAAAGTTTCTCCTTACAATTAATCAACAAAATTTGTCTTATCATGTTTGTATCTGGCATCAAATTTATATTTAATACTATTATAAGAATACTATTGTATTAAATATAACATAAATTTAGAGGAAGATACAAAAGCTTGATATACTCTTGTAGTATCTGCTTAATGTGCAATAGAGAACTGTATGTTATTTTATAAAATGCTCTCAATCGATATGATCAAATGAGTGATTATTCTGATTTTGTTTGGCTGTGTAACACAGGATTACTGAAATTTTATTTATTTTGTCTAAAATGTTGCTTTTTTTTTAAATTTATTAATCTCCCCTGTCTCCTCTATTACTGTGATTTATATAAAATATCTGTGCCTTATCACAAATATTAGAAGGCTACAGCTAATTGTAAATAAACTGACATAAGTATGAACATTGTACTTACCCTTACATTTAAGTAACGATTATGTTAAATAGAATACATAAATATAATAGTCATAAAATATAAATGCAGAGAAATAATAACGAAGTGTAAAAAAACTATCAGAATAAGTATCTTTATTCTTCAACCAAATTATTATTTAAAAAACTGTAATATTGAGATCATATTTTTTTTTATATCAATAAAATTGCATTCAACGAGGACAATAAAATATTTAAAAATAATTTTATTTTAAATGAGAGACTCTAATTTTGAACAGTGTAATAAAATAATTGATATTTATTCATAAATACTCATACTATTAATCATAATAATAAAAAATGCTGATATACATATGTAGTTGTTATGTAAAAACTACTTGCTTTTTAATTATGTTATGTATTTCAAACTCTAATCAAAATATATTTAATGATAAAAAGGAAGTAGAGTATTTTATTCTTTTACTCACCAAACTAATAAGCAAATATTGAAGTGTAGTTAGATGGAAACACTCTGCTGATGATCTCAGTTGATTGATATTGAGAGATGATATATTAACATTAGTTGACCATTCTGTAATTATTAAAGCAACAACACTGCATTTACATTGGCAAGGATTCATTTAATAGTGTTTTATTTCTTATCCAAATATAATTCAGTAAAATGGGGGAACATATTCTTACAAACATTTACTTCAATAATGCATCATGGGTAATCAACTAATATTCCAAGAAATTACTCATACTTGGAAAAATTTTGTAATAATTTTTTTAAAATTATTAATATTAATCAAATTTCCATGCCTATTATATTATTATATGTGTTATTCATTGTATAAAAGATAAATATGAATTGAGATCATCAATAATCAACAAATACGAAAGCTTAAACACTGGATAGGATAAAGGAGATACTTAGATTTTCCGTTAAAAAGTATAGAAGATTATCGACGACATATTGCGATAAAGACAAGATTACTTTTCTCAGCTTAAAACATCAAAATGTAGGGCAGAAAGTAGAAAAAACATAAGATATTAACGGGATTTAAGAAATTGTCGATATAAAAGCAGAATAAATGAAGGAAATATCTTTTTATTTCGTATCTATATCGGCAGAATAGTCAAAAACAGGAAAATCAAGTATCACGATTTATAACAATAAATTATGGGAAATATGAATTAAAAACATGAAAAAATGGAATAATCTTCAAAAAATTATTGATATAAATGGAAATTATTCAAATTCTGCTGTTCCAACCCAATTCGCAGCAAGAGCAAAAAATTTCAACGCACGTGTTTTTAAAAGAAACCTCGAATTAATATCAAAAATCAGGAATCTAGACTTCTCCTCAGCTATTTTTTCTATTTTTTGGACTTTCAACACCAGAAACACAGTTTAATTTAATATTTGAAGATAATTTAATCTCACCTGTTGTAGAAGCGTGCAAAACGCACGAAACTTCGAAGACGAATGTTCCGTTATGCTACAAGTCTATACACGCACCCCCACAGCGATGAATCTGATTGGTCGAAATGATAAGACGCAGAAGGCATTGTCCAATCACAGCCATTGGTAGAAGTTTCGAAATACTTCGAAACTTTAATGCTAATCGTAAGAGAAACGTTCGTTAAAAATTATCGACGCCATATTGAACAAAAGTCAAGATTACTTTTTTCAGCTTAAAACAACAGCGTAATGGAAACGTTCATATAATAAATACCAGCGAAAAAATTAAATAATGTACTTTTTTAGCAACACCCGTCTTATATTATATTTTATATTATTGTAATTATGTAATAAATAAAGGGAAATATTATTTTAATAACACTTTCCTATGGCATGATTTTGCTAAGAAATATTTATGAACATATTATTTGAGATATAAATTCTGACACTTATGTGCAATGTATGCATAGGCGAAATGTTAGTATATATGTATGTACAAAAATTATAATCAATCAAAAAAACATAGAATTCTCACCAACTAGTGAAAACACTGTAGGCAATATTGATCGAAGATAAAGTAGAAGTCAATTTGTCTATAATAGTGGTTGGGGATTTTAGCTCCCAAATCGATAACCATAATCAGGTATAGAAGAATCAGTAATAGAAAGAACAAATTTGACACACGACAGAAAAACAGAAGATATTCCACTAAATTGTACAGGATGATGCTATGGCAAACAATAGAATAAATTGGCTTAATAATACTGGATAGATACAATCATGTTTCAGAAAACAGCAGGTATTTAAATAATGTTAATAAAAATTTCGTTTTCCAATAAAAATCAAATGAAAAATCAATAAAGTGGACAACAATGCAGAAGATGAAGTTGACTTCATCAATCAAGCCAAATGATAGTGAATGGAAAACTCATTCAGATTAGTATAAAGTATAATCAATATCTTAACATGTTAGTAACCTCAGTGACAGCGACTGAAATACCAATAAAAACTTTCAATAATAACATAATTGCAACAATGAAAGTAGAAGCAAACAGATCTGTTGATTTTGCATAATAATGCATTAAAAAAGGAGATAAGGTACAGATCAAGAGAAATAAACCATGGTTTGATTAAAAATGATGCGATTCTTATAGGAAGAAATAGAATAAATCAAAATTAACGACATTCTGCATACACAAATAGCAAATGGATAAAGCTTCTCAGTACAATTAATCAACAAAATATAACATAGTCTTACCATGTTTCTATCTGACATCAAACTTATATTTAATATTTATATTAACTTATATTAATACTATTGCATTAAATATAACATAAATTTAAAGGAGTATAGGAAAGCTTGATATACCCTTGTATTATCTGCTTAATGTACAATAGAGAACTGTATGTTATTTTATAAAATGCTCTCAATCGATATGAACAAATGAGTGATTATTCTGATTTTGTTTGGCTGTGTAACACAGGATTACTGGAATTTTATTTATTTTGCTTAAAATGCTGCATTTTTTTAATTATTAAAGCAACAACACCGCATTTACATTGGTAAGGATTCATTTAATAGTGTTTTATTTCATACCCAAATATAATTCTGTAAAATGAGAGAACATATTTTTACAAATATGTGCTTCAATGATACATCACGTGTACTCAACTAATTAATATTTCAAAAAAATGCCATATTGAGCTTAAGTCAAGATTAATTTTTTCAGTTTAAAACATCAAAATGTCCAAAGTGGACAATATGTATGTCCAAACAGAGACCAGACAGCCATTCTTTGGATTGGATAGGGCAAAACTAGCACTCAGGTGATGATGTACAAGCCTCCGTTTAGAAAAATAGTGAGAACTACGATTTCATTCAGTTTTCACTCGCTCAAGACGTCAAAAAGGTAAAACAGACAACAAATGTAGTTCCTCATTTTTTCTGTTGGGTACAATACATTCGTTCTCCGCGCTCGACCGTGCGATCATTCGCAGCTCGTGTACGTGAAGCTGCCTCGACGCTTGCATCGCCTTAAATAGTATTAAAATATTATATTAAATTGTGTATTAGGTATCAAAAATAAAAAAAACAGAAGACAAAGTTGAAGAGAAGACTGGAGTCATGATTTCTGACATCATTTCCACATTGTCTTCAGAAATGCGTAAGCTGAAAATTTAGAATCTATTTTGCCAACATAGATATGAATTAAAATAACATATTTCTCATTTATTCTGCTTTATGATGATAATTTATTACATATTTATTAATATCTTATGTATTTTTCTATTTTCTTTCCTATATTTCGGTGCTTTAAATTTAAAAAAATAATCTTGACTTTATTTCAATATGGCGGTGATAATTTTCAACGAATCTGTTTCCGTTCTTTTAATGTTAAAGTTTCAAAGAAATTCGAAGTTTCTACCAATGCCTGTGATTGGTCATTCCATTATGGCGTCCTCCCATTTCGACCAATCAGATTAATCGTTGCAGGTTGCGGTGCGCGGAGTGCGGCGTAGTGCATCAGTCCTCTTCGAAGCTTCGTTCGTCTTTCACGTGTCTGCAACAGGTAAGATTAAATTATCTTCAAATATTAAATTAAATTGCCGATCGGGTGTTAAAAGTACAAAAAACAGAAAGAAACATCGAAGAGAAGTCTGAATTCATGATCTTTGACATTAATTCGGCTTTTTGTTCAAAAATACGTGATTTGAAAATTCTTGCTCTTGTCGCGAATTCACAATGAGGTTGGAACTACAGTATATCGTTCATTTCTTAAACATTATTGAATGTTTTTAGTACTGTTACCCACAGTTTACTGTTTTAAATTGTTAAAATTTACTACCACGTGTTGATTTTAACAAGAGAATTCAATAACGTTCTTCTTTGTAATATCATAAAATCTGTTCGTTTAGCTGTTTCGATATCGGCCGGCGTCAGCCTGTGCCGAACGATACCGAATAGTACCGAATGTTACCGATTGGTCTTCGAGGGGTAGGAAGGTCTCGTCATTTGTCTCGTGAACGTCGAGGTGATAAGACGCGTTGAGAACGTCCTTTCTTACGTGCCGGTAGTACATAATAGGTACTAAATATTCAAATATTTTGTATAAATTATAAAATTTGATCGTTCATTAATCATAATTTTATTTACATAAATTTGTATTTCTTATTTGTTACAGATATTTGGCATTGGTTTGACATTGGTTTGATATAATTTCATAAAGAATTGGTAACGTTTTCATTTATTGTAATCAATTGTTAATATTGTTTTTTTTTGTTGGGTCGTTATTAATTGTAAGCATTTTTAATAATTAATTGGTACCAAGGTCAAGGAAAGAAAGATCAAAGAAATTTCTTTTTATCGATTAATACAAAAAGGATCATTAATTTTTCATTTTATTAAATAATTTCGTGTAGTAATTTAATACATGTGTTTTAAATTAGAACAATATTGAAATAATTCGTTTTCTACTGCAAATTGTTGCTTCTCTTCTGTAATTATTAATTATTTTAAACAATCTATTTTTGTTAAGACGTAGTAATTGTATTATAATATCCAGCTTTTAGTGCAAGTTTAAATTAAAATAGAATCACGTTTTTAAATCACATGCTGTTTAAGCATGATTAATTATTGGACTTTGTTTATTGAAAAGAATGTAGACAATTTATAAATTCAGTCGTAATAGAATTTTCAACAAGTTTTAGCATGCTTACAATTTTAACAACAGAAATCCTCTACTTTAATAAAATGGTATATTATATTTATTTAACAATGATTTTCTATTCTTGTAATATTCATTGAAATAATTATCAACAAGTATTTAAAACATTTTATTATTGCGATATAATCTGGGATCAATATTCAATTTGAATAATATTCGTGTTCGTTGAGAATATTTCATGAACAGGAATATTTCCATTTACAAATAATAACAGTATTTCCTTAACCCAACGCTGAATAAGAAGAATGTTTGTTTTGTATATTTCCACTCATCCCCAACCTCACTAATCTTTTCTTCCAGGAATTGTTGTGGCCGCGCGCAAGGCGGTCGGTAGAGCCAGTGTTTGCACGTACATATGTTTAATGTTTTGATTTTCTCAAGGGTGAACTGGCCCTGAATAGTGTTGCGTTTGTACAATTAGGAATCACGCGATAGTAGAGTCAGTGTTTGCTGCGTATTATAAAATAATTTCTAGAGCATCGCGGCTCTGATTTTTCTTTCTTCATCGCGAAAGTAGAGTCACTATAATTGTTCGCCGAAAATTATTCACGGTCGCGTTACTAGCATTTTATATCTTTATTTTTATTTTTAATTTTTTTTTTTTTAATTGATCGATATATCCGGTATTAGAGTCACGGCACCACTGAAGAGGAGTCTTGGGCGATGCTCCACAAGGAAAGAGTGTAAGTATCTTATTACTTTATTTAATTAATTTTAATTCAAATAGAATAATCTACAATTCCAATACTTGATACTCGAGAGTTCTGTTTAATTGCTATTGCTAATATTTTATAAAATCCAAATTCATATATAATTTTATTAGAATAAAAATTGATAATTTGCAAAATTAACCGTAATTCTTTTTTGTTTTGTTACAGATGAATTTTTTGATTTTGCCGAGTTTCTGGATATCCTGATGATGGCTTTCTTCACGACTTCCGTCTTCTGCTACAAGGCAGCCTCCTACCTGGTGGTTGACTGTCGGAAGAAGAGTATATCTGCGAACGGTGAGTCGCATGTTTTATGGTTCCTCTGGTGCCCAATCATGTCGTAGGACGAATGGTCCGAATCGACATGGGTTACCAGTTGTATATGTGGTTGGCAAGCATAGTGACCATGGGTATGATTATACCCATGAGTAGTAACATTTTTATTGTTTCATTTCATTTAGTTTAGGCTAGGTCTTCTTGTACTCCGCGTTTTAATATCATTTCAATTCCACATATTCCAATAGATATTTATGAAATATATGAATGCTCTTAAATGTTCTTAAATGTTCTTACATGTGGAATTAGAATATTTTAATACCGAAACCATTTTATTTAGTTTGTCTATAATAGAGAAATCAAATACTATCTGACCTAGTTATTGCGATGGTTCAAAGCAATATAATATTGATAGTATTATGTAATATGTATACTGGATATACATATTAATGATGCTATTACATTGATTTAATTACATTTTGTACGTCATAAATTCAAATATAATTTGAGAATTTTTTAAAATTTCATTCATTCAATAGCGAAGTTTAATTTATTTAAACGTTCAAGAAAAAATGTACAATTTATGTGCAAGAAGACAATTCGTGACGGGTAGATTTCCAAGTCAGAGTGATCTATTTCAACACATTTTGCGTATTAATTTTCACAATATATTCTTTTTTCATTGTAAAGAATTTTTAATTAGTCATTTTGCTTTTAATAAAATATCAAATTCAATTTTGACATTAAATTCCTTTTTATTAGAGTTTTGCCTTTATTAAATTAGTGTTGCGAGAAATTTCCGACGCGAGAGTAAATATGACGATGCACTGACTAGTATTCGGTGGGAATCCTTTTGGTTTTTAATCTCAATCCTATATGTTATTTAATTAATCAAATTAGTTACAAGGATTCCGCGGCATAAGACCGTGAACACCATCTCTGGGAGATATACCCATGCATTACTAGGCCTTTGCAGGCGCAGCTTTAGAATACGGAACATATGAAAATATGTTACCATATTCTAAACTGTAGTCCTTTTGTCTATACTATGGGCGTCCGTCAATCTGACACCGTTGGATGCAACGTGTTGGACGGGCGGGTAGCGCTCTTAGCGAAGGGGTGCACTCTGTCCTGGCGTTACGACGTCCAGGCGGGGTGGGTGGTATGTAGCGTCTGGCGTAAGTCTAGGGGGCGTGAGACCCTTCGTTGCCAGCTGATATTAGCAGTGCACCATGTTTGCGTCATAGTTGCTCTATTTTACTTTTCAGTATTTGTTCTTAAAGCTTTATATTTACAAAGTCGAGTCACTTTTATTAAAATAGTGAAATATTAGCCCGTTAGATGTTTATGTACTAATCATGTTTGTAGATCAGGATTTTCAGGTTTAATCCCTTCCGTGTTTATTACCAAAGCCCATTCACGTGCCCAGGTGCTACTTGGATGGGTAGAGGCAATGGGCACGATGACCTAGATCATAAGAATAATAATTAATAAGCGGCTGGCATTGTGTTAGTATATCGTGCACGACGTAATTTCCACATATGGTGTGTGTGTTTTTAGGCTGTGGGATTGCGTTGGTTTAATAACTTTTTCATTTAACTTTTAATTTGAAATAATATTTTATTCAATAAGATGTACGATGAAGTTACAAACCAAATAGTATTATTACCATTATTATTACTGTATTGCCATTACTATTACCATGATTATTACCATTATTATAAAATATTCTATATCAAAGTAGTTAATTAAATTTTGTAATTATCATTATACGCAATGATTGCTAGCCTTGCCAGACGATTTCAGTGAAAAATGGTACGTACCGTAGAGTGTGATGTGAGATGAAACTCGGGTGACGGAGGCGTCCCGGGACGTTCTCCCTAGTTTAGGCTCTTGCGCCCGGGTGGAGTGTATGGGGGTCGTGGAATGAATTTTTGTGAGAATGTGATTTTGCCTTTTTTAAATATAGGGTTAGGTAGGTAGGTAGTATACCTTCTGGTGTGCGTGATAGATTGTAAGTAGGTAGGGCCGGGACAGGTTGTCACAGTCTCTTGGTCGGGTAGGCGCGATTTCGCGTGATCAACCTGTACCTGGAATATATTTGAAGAATTGACGGTACAATTGATACGAACGGAGTATGTCGTTCGCCTTCGATTCTATCTGTACAATTTTTCAAATTTTTGGCGACTTCATAAGTCGTCTTACGCGATCGCGATGGCACGAAACGCACAAGTTCTGCTCGAGCACGGCACGTGTGCACGAACAACGATTTGTATAAAGTCCTTTTTCGTCCACGTGTCAATTAGTTTCGCGATTTTTCTATTTTGTTGATTGTTTTTTTTTTGTTTTGCGAATTTGCAAGTCTCGAGCTTTAGATATAAGTTTCAGGTGGGTGGACCGCCCGAAGAAAGAAAAGGCTATATGCCGAAGCGCCCCGACAAACTGTCTTTCAAGAGGGGAACTACTAATGATTTTGCATCCTTTTGCAAAAAAGGATGGGAAATCATTATCGTTACTACTTTGTCACTGTGCTTGCTTGTAGTTGTAGTTTTGTAATTGCAGGAGAAGAGGGGGCCCGTGACCCCCATGATTTTGGGCAAATCGCGTTTTCAATTTAGTGTTGCGAATATTGACCACGGTTTAATTTAGTGTTGCGAATTAATATATCGATCACGGTTCAATTTAATGTTGCGTATGCATGATTATCGCGATTTTCATTTAGTGTTGCGAACTTTAAATATCGCGTTTCTTTCTTGCATTGCTTTAAAATAAAATTTAACTTTTCTATGTTGATTGCTTTAAGATTTTTGAGAGTTTTGCTTTTTAATGTTCATTGCTTTAGTGTTGCGAGTAAAAGATTCACGGTTTGAGAATTTCCCTTTTTTGCATTTTAATTGCATGTCTCTTAAAGATAGCGTTGCGAATGACATTAGCGCGATTGTTTCCCAGTGTTGCGACTTATAAGTACGCGATTGCTTTGCATTAGTTTATAGAGTTCCCTGCTAATTAGTGTTGCGGTAATGAATATTCGCGTTTTGCATTAGAGTTGCGATATATGATGAAATGCCCAAAAACGATCCAGTGGAGTTGCCATGGTCCATAAGGCAGCTATGGACCAGCTGCCGTGATACAGCCTTGGATTGGCTGTACCCCTTTTTTAGATTAGTGTTGCGTCTTACAAAATTCGGTAGATTTGAGTAGTGTTGCGTTACAGTTCGCGTTTTCTCTTTTTTTCTTTTTTTCAGCTTAGTGTTGCACATAATGGAGCAGCCTTCACGCGTACGCTTTTGCACATATTATATAATTAATGAAATTAGTGTTGCGAGTAAAAAATTCGTGGTTTGAGAATTCCCCTTTTCTGCATTTTAATTGCATGTCTCTTAAAGATAGCGTTGCGAATGACATTAGCGCGATTGTTTCCCAGTGTTGCGACTTATAAGTACGCGATTGCTTTGCATTAGTTTATAGAGTTCCCTGCTAATTAGTGTTGCGGTAATGAATATTCGTGTTTTGCATTAGAAATGCCCAAAAACGATCCAGTGGAGTTGCCATGGTCCGTAAGGCAGCTATGGACCAGCTGCTGTGGTACAGCCTTGGATTGGCTGTACCCCTTTTTTAGATTAGTGTTGCGTCTTACAAAATTCGGTAGATTTGAGTAGTGTTGCGTTACAGTTCGCGTTTTTTCTTGTTTTCTTTTTTT